CCCCCCCCCCCCCGTGAATTTCAGTCAAGGACCCTAAGAAAGAGACTCTGAAATGGAGGCAGATCCCTCCCCTTCCAAAGGGCCAATAGGGTTCAAGAACGCCATCACCGACATTTCCCTCAGACTGCTTATTTTTCTATCTTTGCGTTAAAGTCACCATATTTGAAAACACGTTACAGTTATTAATTAAAACATACAGGTTTTTCGTCAAATTGATGAATGGATAAGTCTTTGTCTTGTGATGTTATTTTTACTTTCAATGTTATTAAAGGTCCAAAGGGTCAGTTCCTTCCGCTTTTAAACTCGCGTTCAAGGCACCGAAAGACTCTGAAATCTCACGATCCAGTTCCCCAGCTCCAAGGGGTAACTGAGGGCAGTTGAAATTATTTTAGAGAGCCCGCACGGACTTTTCCGTGGTGCAAAATGTACTCTCGGAAGCGATTTAGATTCCTCAAATGACGACTGATAACTAAAAATCTGAGGGATCAGTTAAACGATTCTAGCCTAATTCACCAAGCCAAATTCTCGCCCCGAAAATAAGTCTCATTTGGCGAATATTTACTGTTATGCTCGATAGATAAATGGACTGCATTTTGCAATTTGGAACTATAAATTCTGGCTCTTCTGGAAAAACACTTATGTGTATAGGGGAACTAATGGCACATACGTTGTTTTTAAACCGGGCTAGAATCTATAGGTCCAAATTGCAAAATGTAGTCCAAATCATCAACCATCGTCGAGAGAAAAGTAGCGCTAACCTCCGAATTCAACTTTTGCCGCCACCCAATGATATTGCCCAAATTTTTAGCCCGGGGTCTCTTAAAACAGATTGTCTCCGAGCTGAAGCACTATTTTTCAAACGACCGGATCCGTCTAATACCTAACCTCAAAGCTATATCCAAAGCGGCATCGACGTGTCTCGGCCAGAAGCGAGCGATGCGGCTGGGTGGTCGGACTGCATCGTTGCAGACAATGCATCAAATTAGCTTTTACCTCCCATTCAACGCCATATAAAATCCTAACGTTTATCTCACAACCTGGCAACCTCGTCGGGCGGCGAGGCCGCGGAGGTCGGCGGGTCACCGGGTTAGACCGGCGCTCATCCTCGGAGCCCCCCACCCCCCTCCGACGGCGGGCATGTTTGCTGCTCGAGGATCAAATGTTGGATGGCCTTTACAGTTTACAGTTTAGAGTTTAGATAGCCGATAATTCAGCTCCTTGAGCAACGCTCGGCCGTTGCAGTTGCGACACGACTCCAAGTCCGAAATCCCGGACGGAGAACCGCATGAATCGAACGGGAACCCTGGGGGGGATACGGGGTTTTCGTCGACGGCCGGCACCCCCGCCGCCCCCGCGTTCTGGGTTTCCCGGTAATTGGGCAGGTTTCGTCACGTGTCAACGAGTCGTCGACCGTTTCAGCGCTTTCGGCCGGGGCATCGAAAGTGTGACCAATCATGCTCGTTCCCAGTCGCGTTACAACTCTTGATTGACCGTAATAGAGACCCGTGAGTAATGCTCTTCGGCGCGGCATCGAGCGGACAGGTGAGGGGTCGATGATATCATCTCTTGCCAACCGGGAATATCCTATGTGATGCTGGTTAAATTTTCGAGGAATGTGGTGCCACTAACTCTTTGGTCCCCCTCTTCAAGTAATTAAATATCGAAAGTAATTCATTTTATGCGGAGTTTACTAGAAAATGTATCGAGAAAAGGAACTGAGGATGAAAAATCTTATTCACAAATCTACCAGATGACTAATTTGGAGCTGTCCTCAAATTATGTGCTATTATACTTTTTACGTGTTTAAAGATAGGAACCTACGTCAATAAAGCATGATAAGGGAGGGGGGGTTTAAAATGCCGAAAAAGTGCGTTACATAACTAAGGAACGGTCCCTTTGATCTTTTGGGACTGTGTGCGGAGAATGATGACTTATCCTCAGAAAGTTGTCCGAGCAAATTTTTCTAAGCTTCGACCCCTTTTTGATTTTTTAATGGTACAAATAAAATTAGTCTCAAGTACTCCAAAAATGAAATCGAATTATAACCGTGAAAAAATTTGAGAGCTCGCCCTTCTCTATATAGGAAAATCCTCTGATAAAAGAAAACCGAATCATTGAATTATGCAAAGAATGAAATAACACTACAAATATTAAAAAAATGCTAACTTTTGATGAATTTATTGTACTTCAAAATAATTTAAGAGGATTGGATACTTTCAAGGGAGAAAAGTCATGCTAGAATTTTTTTTCACAGAAAGCTGTACGAGGAAGTACGTTGGTGGTGCACTTCAATCACGTACAAGCACAAATCATCCAAAAAGGAGAGGTGCGGGGCATGATTATTCTGTAGAGCAGCTCTCAAGGCTCTCTTTTTCCCTACGTGCATGTGAATAGAGGAGCAACGGTCATTACTTTAATGCCATTCAAGTAATAAGACACTCCGGCCGATCACAATGAGAATAATGCTGACTAGGATGCTACTTGCCGAAAGCAAATTTTAATGGCGAATGATCGATTCATTGATATGCGCCTTTTCCGCGGTAATCAAAGGCGAGCAACTTAAATGCCAAAACGGTGACGGCACCCTTTCAACTCCATTACCTCGAGATTGGCCATTCCCAGGCTGATGTCGACGCTGGGCTAAGGTCACACCCAACGAGCTATCGACATGACAAAACCATCGACCATTGCCAACTTGCGGTATCGCGACCTGGGAAAGTCTGACTTCTTTTCCACTGGCGAAGTGTTTTTCATCAAAATGGCTTCGGTCATTTCAGCACGTTTTCTGATAAATTTTCAGATGTAACTTCTGATATGTTATGTATAAACGGTTTATCTTTTAAATCAGCAGCCTGGAATAGACGATAACTCCAGAATCAGTGAACAAAGTGTCAAGCGTGTTGGTACCACTTTTAAGAAATTTATGCCTGGAGCTCACATTATTACAAAAAAAAAAACAAAAAAAATTTAAACCAACTTGCCCTGAAGACTACACTTGTCGACCGTAAGGTCTAAAAGGCATAACTCTGTATTCCTTTTGCAACATTAGTCTTTGCGTGTACATATATTAGATGTTCTAGTAGAGTTTATCAGTGCTCGAAGTATTGAAAAATGACAATAACCAAAATTATTATCACCCGTCATAATTTGATTGACTCTATGACTCTACACAATGAATGGTTTGGCTACCATGCATATTTTATGGGGCTGAACCTAATTTTCTCACCCCTACTTGGCGCTAAACCGGCGGCTGTGTGAAAAAATAAATCAATTCGACTTCATCCCTCTTCAAACAAGCCAAGTATTGAAAGATGCTGCAATCCTTTTGACACCATGAAACAAAATGATGAAGGTGGAGGCTACTTTGCTACCTTGAAAATAGCTAATTACGAGATCAGATGAACAAGCCAGTATTATGCGAATAAGAGGATAAGATCACGTTACATTGCCTTCTTTACATTGTGTGAGAGGAAATATTTAGCTACGACAAAATCAGGCATACTAGAGCCGAGAGCTTATGACTATTCGAGCGTTAGTGTCATGGCGTGGTGTCACTTGAAAATGAAGGCGATTCTACATGTTTTACTTGACCACTGTACTACCGCTACCACTGTTCTACTTGTTTTACCTGTAGTTTTAACAATGGAATTCACCTGAGAAAAGTGCTTTAAAGTGGGGGAAGCCAATGACATAGTCGCACCTTGGCATATAGAGAGGTTTCCTTACCATCATTTGGCGCAAGGAGCAACCAAAAATTGACTTTTTGGTTGCAGTTTAAAGTTTGAGGACAATAAATGAAGAATTCGAGCAGAACACCGTCAAAAATTGTGTGAAAATCATGATTTAAAAAGTTGACCCAATATTATTATAGAAGTATTTGAAAATTTTTAGCGACCATAACTGAAATTGATGAGTTTTAACCCATTTTCGTTTTCTTGCGAGCAATTTGAGTTTCCATCTTGACACAGATCCTGCTTTGCTCCATCTTCAACCCCAAGTGAAGCACAGAGTTGTAAATATCGAGTGGCCAACCGCTTTAATCAATATACTTTTTTTTGTAGCATGGCAAATGGTTAAAAATGTTAATGTTTATGTTTATTTTGGATTACATTGAGTTACTGTTTTTTCAGTTAGAACAACTAAAAGAACTTGGTTAATCGACCAATTGTTTGGTTATATCGACCAAGGAGACCCTAGGTAATCTAAAACGTCTAGGGAAGAGGAAAAAGTCCTGCCGAACTAATGCACACTTGTTCCGCATCTATCAAAGCTGCATCAGCTTTGGTTTCAAAGATGTCGCAATATTGAGGATGCTCTGACCTACCTGAACTTGTACGATCCATCTACGTTGGGTCCATCCCTCTCAAATTTGACGATGGGAATGGGAGTGGTCTCTTGAGCGAGAGTTACAGCGCACACGGCGGCTAATAAAATGGCAATCTGAAACACAAAATAAAACATTTGAATTAAAGTACAGGTCGTCAACAAACTTTTTCTCAAAGTTTTTGCGTAAAAGCTAGGACTTAGTAAACGTGGTGTTTTCGAAACATTGACAGCTTTTGTGATAAGCAGTTCATCACAAACACACATTCTTTGCACACTGGAAAAAAACTCCGGTTGTAAAAGCTGTGCTTACGGGATCAGAAGCGGAAAGTTCCGGGTGCAGCACCCGTTGTTGTTCTAGCCCCTGAATTTGAAGCAGTCAAAGCTATGGTCCCAGCACCCATAATTTTTGGCCTCTGTGTTCAAAACGGAAGATATGTCGTATAGCCCGTGAATTTTTTTTGTGTTTGTCAAGCACGAAGTTTAACATTCCCGTATTATTAAGGTCAACATTTGAATGTTGGAGTCCCAAAATTAAACGCTTGCACCATCGCCATCATACACGAATGGATTTATCTGTGGCTATTAGTATTGGTTGGAATGATACATTATCAGTGTGCGCCTGTCAGCAAATGTATTTCATCATCGAAAATCGAGAGTTCATTTACACGAGACATTCTCAGGAAAATGCTCTTGGTGGGTGTGCAGCACGCAAGTTGTTGAAATGCGTGAGTTTGGTAACACATGTAAATCGGACCGGAGTGAATAAGTGAGATAGTGCACAGGCGCATGCGCCGCACACGCTGAACTATGAATAAATTTGTGCTCGAGCGGCCTTGAAGATGCTACCAATCACGAACTGGAAGGTTGCGCTCGTTGTCACTTTGTGTCTAATTACATTTTCGTCTACCTTTCATAGACTCTTTCAAGTAAACGATCTTTGGAGAAGCGTATTCTAGAGAGGTCAGTTGGGGAGGGCCAAGAAATTTTGGGATAATGTCACTGACTCAAATCCTGGATCCATTGCCGTGTTTTGAAAAAAAATCCTGAACTGTATCCCATTCAGAATTCTGTCAGAAATGTAAGTATTTTACGATAAGGAAAATATTAGTAAAGTGTTACGAAATGTTTTTGACATAGAACTATTTCTTTAATCATGGAAGTCACTTTTGGAATATTGTTCAAGATAGAAAATTTTTCTCTCTTTCTATCTTAAAAATTCATTCGATAAAAAAATCGTCACTAATACAAATTATATAAATTAGAAAAAATCTGCACAAAAATTCGGAAATACTACAGTTTAGGTAAAAGATTGGTTTAAAAAACAGGCATTATAGACTTTACAAAGTAGATCACTACGCCACATTCTCAAGCTTTTCAACTTGAATCCGTTGTAACTTCTGAACATCATCATTTTATGACCACTCACTAATTCAAAGAATATTGATGAGTTTAAAAGTTTTTTTTTTTTTTTTATCTAATTTGTCAATATTTCAGTTTTTCATTGAATTTTCTTTGACGGAATATTGTTGCACGGTTTTTGTACTTTTCAACTTGAGTCCATTGTAACTTCCAAACATTACATTTTATGACCACTCACTTGTTCAAAGAATATTGATGAGCTTAAAAGTTTTCTTTTTTCTTTTTTATCTAATTTGTTAATATTTCAGTTTTTTTTTTTTTGAATTTTTTTGACTGAATATTGTTGCACGGAATGAACCGAATGCCACAAGTACCAGTATTCTCACCACTTTCACATCGAAGGTATGGTTAAACCTCTTCTCAACTACGTCCTTCAAGCCTTCACCCGAAACATTTTTCGCGACAGGAAAAACCGGAGAGAATCGTGTGGAATCTGGCAACTGCGGTTGCACACCTGTCGCCGCGAGTGTGAGATGATCCTCGGCCGATAAGTCGCGGCGCGGCGCGGCGTCGCGGGTGCACCGCAAGTGTGAACTGTTCTTCGGCTGTGGCCGGGGATCCCGAGGTCTTGACCGCGCCAGCGCGGGTCAGGTCTCGTTGCCAAGTCTGGAGGCGAGTTCACACCGAAGCAGACGTGACGCCGGCGGAGGGTGATGTCGCCGGGATTAACGCCGTTACAACATCTTCTTGGCAACGTTACAAGGTCAAGTTTGAGCTACCCTCAGGCCTCATGGCCCATAAATGAGACGTTGCGCTCAGATGTAAGCATCGGATGCAAGGAAAAGAGTTTGATGATTTTTGTGCTTTATTTTTGTAAATTTATGACTTATTTTGATGTAATCGCAATCATTATTTGTGCATTCTTCCGAAACTCAGATCGAGAGACTCAAACGCATGGCAAAGAAAGTGGATGTTGTTCTCTTCAATGGTACGCCTCGAGGCGATCGGATGCAAGGAGAATTTGATGATTTTTGTGCTTTTTTTGTAAATTTATGACTCGTTTTGATGTATTCACAACCATTATTTGTGCATTCTTTCGAAACTCAGATCGAGAGACTCAAACGCATGGTAAAGAATGTGGACGTTGTTCTCTTCAATGGTATATGCCTCCTGATTTTATGGCATATTTTGTCACTTGGAGGTGCAAAGCTCTCAAACTTACATCGAAAGAATCAATCGCTCGGTGAAGAATGTGGACGTACTTTTCTTCAGCGCTGTAGATACATACAATTTTTAAGATATAAATAATGAAAAAGCTACTCTTCACGAAAAGGCCAACAGTTCGGGTATAGCGATAAAATGAGATCATTTCAATCCATACGACGAAGTTAGGAACAGTAAAATGTTATTTACGCTAAACTTTCAGCTTTTTCACGGTAGGCTGAATTCTACTGTGCAACAATTTGAGGGAATTGGCTGGATAAGAGACGAAGATTCCACTTCTTATTCCACTTCCAAGTAAATGAACCCCATTTTTAGTAGTTCCTTAACTTGCAACTGCTTATTCCTTCAAAACTCAACACCCATTGGTTATTTTGGTTCAAACTCCTCTGTATGGTTATAAAATTTACAATCTCGTTTAATTACGAGGTTGGTTCGAGAAGCAAAAGTTGAACTCACTAGGCGCAATGCATAAACGTGTGGCTCTCATCAATTAAATTCGAAATTCCTGCAATAAAACTGCGTTTTTTGAGCCTAGGAGGAGTATGCGATCTGATATTACAACATTTCGTAATTCAAAGTCAAGTTGGCGTCGTAGTCGGTAAAAATTAACAAAATACGAAAACTAATGTAACGATAATTATTCAATTATTAAATAGAGACCAACAATAATGTGTAAATGAGGCCTACAGGAGATTTAATGATTCTCGAATATTTCATCGAAGCAGAGTAATTTAAACACATTAACAATGCGAAATAGGCGATATTTTTAAAGCGAGATGCTTATTCAATAGGGTAAAGTTCCCCTATTGTTCGATTTACGGCCAATCGGACGGTCACCAGTCACCTGCACGCCCATGCAGCGATACGATACGGTCTCCAGGGCAAGTTCTTCGGTTATTAATTAATTGAACAAGTTTGTCCTCCGATAGACCGAGATGACACACAGCAGTTGGTAGCACAGATCGCATCCGAAGATGTTTCTCATCGAACATACCTTTGTATTCATTAACTTGTTATCCGTATCATGTCCACCGTGTACTAATTAACAGATGAGAAATAGGTGCAAGGTTGACAAGTTTCCATCCTAACGCGCCGCCAGGTCGAGAGATGGGCGGATCACGGAAAATTGTAGAAACTTTGCAATTCGTTTTGTAGCTCTAACTTGCTCATCTTATGCAATTATCGTGCGATTTGGCCGTCCTGAACAGCGGACGATAGACCACGAGAAACGAACTTACACTTTACGATTTAAAATTCGCAGCACCATCTACAGTAATATCACACTACGCTCATCTCTGCGGAATCATCCTGAAAGAATCGAGAAGAGAAGCTGTGTCAAGGTGGGTATTTCTAATTAATTCTGCGGTGTGACACAAAGAACATACGTGCCACCCGCTCTTATTCTGCTTGCCCGCAAAGTCGATTTGCTTTGATGTTGCTTAAAACACGTGCGTTGAAATCACACACCGCCACATTCACCTGCTCTTCTTGAGTTGTCAGATGGTGGGTGTGTCAATGACCTCCATACTTTGGTCCTACGATCCGGATATCTTCATAAATACATTTTCTTGATTTTTCTCTTCAAAGATTTCATTTACAGCGAATTTGTAAAGAAAGATTTTTTATAAGATTGCTTAAGCTTTAATGGAGGTAAAGTACGCCATAAATTTTCAATGTCCCATAAATTTTTGAGAAGCTCTATTTTTTTTCTGCGCCTTTTCCTTCGAATCAGATTCCTTCCATACATTAATTTAATCCCTTAGAAATATTCACATAGACAGAGGTTTGATTTCAAAAATCTTAATGATAGGAGGGGTCAACATCTTCATGAACCAAAGAAAAATCCCTCTAAAAAGACCAAAAGAGCACACAAAATCAAGAACGAAGAAGGAATTTTGAAACTTTAAAGTGGTAGGCGTAATCTCTACGCTTAAAATATACACATCAGACCAAGTCTCGCAAAGCCCATTTTTTAAGAAAAATATTAATATATTTCCTTGATGTTTTCCAGAACTTTCAGAGAAATTGCGAATAAAATTACCTGAAAAATTGAAGGAGAAATATTCATGATTTTATACCAGGAAATTGGTGCGTTATCAAAGGAAATTTGACAACGCCTGAAGGTTTATAAGGCGTATCTGTGGCGTAAGGGCGTACCGCAATTTTCCCCGTGAGAGCCCTCAGCTTCGTATAACACTATAGTTCCCGGGGCTCATGTGAGTATAGAGATACGCCCTTTCGTCGGAAGAGCGACGATATGTGCCGTTCTAGAGCCCTCATCAGATATGCAGAATCCGACCTACGGAAATTGATTTCCTAGGGCAATCAAAAGTTTCAGATAGTGTCTAGGTCTGGGTGCACTTTATATTTAGTGTGAGGTAACCGTAGCTCGCATCGTAACAGTAACATTTTGCGCGATTCCGAAATATTTCACGCATAATGACCGGTTCCTCGACAGCAACTCCCATTGTTCCGGCAGAGCACAAAGACAAAATCCTCGCGCAAAATTTCAACGTCAGCAGAGTTTTGAG